TTGGAGGTGGGGGGGGCTGCTCTTGCTTCCCCATCCCTACCCTCACCCCATCCACCAGCCCAGGGAACTTGGGATCAGGGTCCACGCTCTTAGGTGGCCTGACTTAGGGCCTGGGGCTTGGTGTGAGCACTGGCCAGAGCTAGGAGAGGTGGGACCATGAATCGAATCGGCAGCTTCTGAGCCCCTTTTCAGTTCACTAGCTGGGGGCGCGGGGTGGGGTATCTTAGGTGCAGAATAAACTGATGGTCTGGACACCCCAGAGCACACTATAAGGAGATTCTGAAATGCAGCAAGGAGCATGCTACCAGGGAGCCAAGGGGGAGTGGGGGGAAGGTGCAAGAGGATTTTCAATCAAGGCTCTTCCTGATCAGCCCAGCCTCAGGACCCAGGAGGGGTACCTGGGAGGGGGAGCACTCCACTGATCTGTGGACTGACTCCACACCGGGCTGAGGTCTCAGTTCTCACCTGCTTTGGGGAGACTTATCTCCGCTTGGGGTTTTCCTCCACGAGTGCTCTGGGTCTGTGGAGTGAACTCCTTTCCCTACCCCAACTGGTCTTCTAAACCCAGGACTGCTGAAGGAAGCAGACCAGCAGAATGATAGCGATGACACCCCCCAAGCTGTGAATGGGGCGCTGCACCAGGTAGCTTTGGGGAGACACTGCCCCCTTCCTAAGTTGCCTCTAGGTTTGGGGGAAGGGGTCTAGAGTCCAAGACGCGCCAGACTAAAGCAGGTCAATTCCTAGTAGCCAACACCAACCGACCGACCTAACGACTGACCACTGCCTGCTGGCTGCAAGGCAGGAGGGCAGGTGGTGTGTGTCTGAGGCAACCAAGAGGCAGTGGAGCCAGCGGATGAGGTGACCCTGAGGATTTGAGGTGAAGGAGAGAAAAACTCCAGAAGGATGGAAGGACCTGAGGGGCCACTGAAGCAGGCAAAATAGCCCCACTCTCAGGAATGAGATCTGCCCAGGCTGTAGGGTAGAAATCTGAGGACAGAGATGGGTCCCTCATAAGGAGAGGCTCCACGGTCCTGATCCCCAAGCATCTGTGAGCGGGTGTAGCCTGGGGCAGGCAGCTCATCTCAGGGCTTCGGGGTGGCCTAGCCCCAGAACCCACAGGGAGACCGCTGCCCCAGAGCACAAGCAATTTTGCCAATCATCGCCTCTTTGACCTCTCTCCCTGACCCAGCAGTCACTGCCAATTGCTAAGATTTTTTTCAGATGTTGAAAACTAAAAGGTTTTCCTTCCAACTAGGAAGGGAAAAACAATTTTTTTTAATGTTGTGCCTTACTTTTGGGAGGAAAATACTATTTCCCTGAAACCTCTGTTGGGAGACCCCTTAGTTTCCTGGACATCAAATCCTTTGAACATCCTTTTTGGCTTTCTTTTTTTGTGTCAAGGAAACAGAGCAGCCACTGGGCTCACTTTTATGGTGGCCCGGGAATAAACCTTGGTGGTCAAATTCAAGTGCTCAGGTCCATTGCCGGCTCCTCACAAGAAGCACAAACCTATCCTCCCACCCCCAATCCTCCAAAGTCCTAACTTTTCAGAATTTGCCTTGGGGACTTGGGCCCCAAATTGCCCTGGAGCTCAGAACAGAGCAGGAAGGGGGGGGGGCAGTGGAGAGCCAGGAGGAAAGTGGGAAAATCAGGAGCTGAGACTGGGGCCTCACCCACACCTCGGCCAGAGATGGGGCACTTCTCGCTTCCCTCTTGCTGTTCCTATCACTGTTTGGGGAGCATTTTGCCTCCAATAAGCTCTAGTTTAATGAGGTCAGTGTGAACCCCATAAAAGCCACAGTCCATAGTTCCCCACCATTATAATTAAAACGCTGCCCCAGCTCGCCCTATAAAAAACAACTAGAAGACAGAGGGTAGGCAACAGTTTTCCTTTTCTCGGCTCCTTTCTGACTGAGAAGCCCCGTATTTTGGCAGCCCTCAGCCCAGGCTAGCTAGCTCTTCTTTGCCCTCTGCTCAGCCCCTGGAGGAGGGCTGGAAGTAGCAGTGGGTGGGCAGAGGGGCGATGGAGTCTAGCTGTGGGCACCCCTGGTTGACTCCATTCCAGCTTGGAAGGTAAAAAGGTTAAGTAGAAAGGGATTTTGAGGGTTGTATTTGGAGATAGGGGACCATTTTTTTAAATGTCCTCTCCATCTGGTTTGGGGACCTCAGCACCCCCTCCTGTTTCAGGCAGGAAAATCAAACACATAACTTTTTAAAAAGTGGAAGCCAATTTTAACCAAGCCAGGGCTGTAGAGAAGGTCTGGACCATTTCTAGATCTCTCAGAGAAGACCATGGGCTAAGTCATTTGGGGGCTTCAGTTGTCCCCCTCCTTCCAAAAACACCATATCCCCACCATGGTACCTCCTTGGTTCCAGGGCTGCTTTCTGCTCTCCTGCTAGTTGCCCCTGAGACCCAGTCTAGAACCTTCCAATAAAGTAATTTGCCCTCTGTCCAGCTGTGTCCTGTGGTGCCCAGAGGTGTAGGGAGGGGAGAACAAGCAGAACTGACAGCTCTTTGGATGACAGCCCCTGGACACGGAGGAGGGCAGGACAGAGCTTAGAAACTAGAAGGTGTCTTGCTGCAGCTCCAGGAAGCCAGGCTGTGGGCTCCCATGAGGGAGTGGCCCCTGTCCTGCCCATCTGGAATCCATAGCTCCCTTCCCTGGTCTGCTGGCCTGGCCTGGAGACCCAGCCCTGGCCTCACTGCTCACCTATCACCCCGACAATAGGCAAGACTGAGAGTCCCAGTCTCCCGAACCATCCCCTTCCTAAGCACCAGTCCTCCTGCTCAGTCTTGAGGAACCCTGGTGGCACAGTGGTTCAGGTGGTCCCCATTGGAGCCCACTAGTCGCTCCATGAGAAAAAGATGTGGCCTCTGCTTCTATGAAGATTATAGCCTTGGAGACCCTATGGGGCAGTTTAGCTAGGTCCTACAGAATCGCTATGTGTCATAGTCAACCCGGCAGCTTCATTTTTCAGGGTCTGGGGCAGAGGCTGAACCCCCACTCGAAAGAGGTCCCCCCCCCTAGAAAGATATGTGGTGGCTTTTATTCTTAAGCCCTTTTCTTTGAGGTTTGGGATTTCGAAATCCACAGTGAATGTAGCTTTCTTCCCATTGATTGACAATAAAGGCAGGCATGAAATATTCACCCAGGGCCACTCTCTCATACTAAATATTTAACACAACATTAGAGAAGGTTTTTCCCAGACTTCTCCAGGCACCGGCTGGGCGGCTGGCACAGCGCTCACCGCTGGTTTATGACTGATTCGGAGTCCCTAGCCAGCGGCAGCAGCGCAGCAAGCCAGGCGGAGTTGGGACACTGGCGCGCAGCTGGGCTGGCTCACCTTTGGGAAACTTCAGACACTCTTCCAGGGCGTCTTCCCAAAGAGGAAGAGACTCTTAACACCCAGCTCCTGCTAGAAGAACCGACTTCTTAAAACTTGCAAATGGGCAGGGACCCTCTGCCTCTCGGGTGGGGTAAAGGTCTCTGAGACTTGGGGACTTCGGGGTGGAAGGGGGGGTGCCCCTTCTTCGCCTGGAACTGGGCAGAGGAGAAGTCCTCGCCCCATACAAATCTCGCTGCAGATCACTGAGAGGAGGCAAGACCATCATCTCCCCCACCCCCCTATGTGAGAGCCCACCTCCTTCCCTCAATCCTGGGGTGGGGGGGAAGAGAGCGGCGGCTAGGAAAAAATACAATTACCCCCTCCCAGCCAGCGCCCCCGCCCATCCCACCGCCCACCCCAACCCAACCCTCTCTCTCCTCCTTTGCTCGCTCGGTGGAATGGAGAGGAGGGGAGTGACGAGAGAAAAACGAATACAAATCTGCAATTGATTTTCATAATGTTTCTGCGGTGTTTGCAAACCAATCGCCTGAACGTCCCCGATCTTACCTAAGAGAGAACCCCTCCTACGTCTGCGAAGTGCTCGGAACTGATATATGACAATATCTACTTTGGATCACGTGCCCGGGAGAGAGACTAAGACGGATAACGCGTCATCTAGCCTTCCCAAAATTTCCCCCCTCGCTAGACCGGGTCCAAAACCTCCATCCGGAGCCGGCAGCAGAAGAGAACGATGTTTAACTCGGTCAACCTGGGCAACTTCTGCTCGCCGTCGCGCAAGGAGAGGGGCGCTGATTTCGGCGAGCGGGGGAGCTGCGCCTCCAACCTCTATCTGCCCAGTTGCACTTACTACGTGCCTGAGTTCTCCACGGTCTCCTCCTTCCTGCCGCAGGCCCCCTCTCGACAGATCTCCTACCCCTACTCCGCCCAAGTGCCCCCGGTCCGGGAGGTCTCCTACGGCCTGGAACCCTCGGGCAAGTGGCACCACCGCAACGGCTACTCTTCCTGCTATGCGGCCGCCGACGAGCTCATGCACCGGGAGTGCCTGCCTCCTTCCACGGTCACCGAGATCCTCATGAAAAACGAAGGCTCCTACGGCGGCCACCACCACCCCAGCGCCCCGCACGCAGCCCCCGCCGGCTTCTACTCCTCCGTCAACAAGAACAGCGTCCTGCCACAAGCCTTTGACCGCTTCTTCGACAACGCCTACTGTGGCGGCGCCGACGCGCCCGCCGAGCCCCCCTGCCCGGGCAAGGGCGAGGCCAAGGGGGAGCCCGAAGCGCCCCCAGCCTCGGGACTGGCGTCCCGGGCTGAGGTGGGTGCAGACGCCGAGGAGGAGGCTACGAATCCCAGCTCGTCCGGTTCTACCCACTCGGCCGCCAAGGAGCCTCCGAAGGGAGCCGCCCCCAGTAGGTAGCCGCCGCGGCTGGGAACAGGCGGGCGGTGAGGGAGGGAGGAAGGGCGAGGACAGGGGGGAGGCGAGGGGAGTGGGGACGGCCTCGTGTTTTGGGTCAGTCCGATTTTATGTGGAGTTTTATAAGCATTCAAAGGATTTTATTATAACCTACAAAGCCCTCGCTCCCAATGACTCCGACTTTTTACGATGGAGCAGGGGTGGGGTGAGGAGGGAAAAGGGCTCTTTGGAAAAGCCGGGTGAACCCCCCCCCTCCCCGTTATCTCCCTCGGTCTGTGAAATTTTTAAAAGCGCCACCATCGCGGGTGATAGTAACTTTGATCGTGAACTTAGAGGAGCATTTAAGGAAGGCTGGGGAACCGGGCTGCCGGGGGGTGGGAGGGAGGGGAGGGGTGGAGGGGGAGGAAGGGGAGGGCGAGGGGAAGAGACTGGGAGAAGCCCTGAGAGGGGGAGAGGTGGGGAAGGGAGGTAATGGAGCAGAACCTGCGAGCGAGAGGCCAGCCAGGGCCGCTCTGCTGCTTTTAAAAATTATTTTTTAAAAAATGCTCCAACGATGTGTCCGCGGGTCTTTGAACAGAAACCCGAGCAGCTTGGGGTCGCCGGGAGCAGGGGCACCAGGGGAGGCGAGCTGGGGCTCCGCTGGGTTCCAGCGCAGGCCGAGGCCGGCTGCGTGCAAGGAGGGCTCGGCCGCGTGCGCGGCCTGGGGAGCCGGGCCCAGGAAGCCGCGTTCGCTCCCGGTCCTGGGGCCTCTGCTCGCCGGTTTTCTGCTCGCTTCCCCTCCGCTCTCACCCGCCCGCGCTGCCCTCCTCCCGCCGGGTCTCCGCAGCTGCCCTAGATTTGGCCAGCAAGGCGGGGTGGGTGTCCAGAGCCACTAGGGGAAAGCGGGCAGGGGCAGAGGGCTGCGGTCCCGCAGGCAGGGGGCCTACGGGGACAGAGGCGCACGTGGTCCTGGCCGGCTCTACTCCGGGAGACCAAACCCCATCTCATCGCTCGCAGGAGGGGGAGCAAGGGGGACCCCCCACAGCTCCGGATCGGGATGAGCTGGTCCTGGCAGGGTGGGCGACGCTTCCTTAGGCACTGCCCCCACCCCTCACCCCCACTCCCCGCGACCAGAGCCTGCCGGCCTGGCGGGAGGGCTGCGAGGCGGTTGGGATGGGAGTAGCGCCGCTGAGCGCACAGCGGGGCTGAGGTCGCCGGGGTCTCACGTGTGTGTCTCTCCCTCTCCTCCTTCTTGCCCCCTCCAGACGCCCCCCGCACCCGCAAGAAGCGCTGCCCTTATTCGAAATTCCAGATCAGGGAACTGGAGCGAGAGTTTTTCTTCAACGTGTACATCAACAAAGAGAAGCGGCTGCAGCTCTCCCGGATGCTGAACCTGACGGACCGACAAGTGAAAATTTGGTTTCAGAACAGGAGGATGAAAGAAAAAAAACTGAGCAGAGACCGACTGCAGTATTTCTCGGGAAATCCTCTACTGTAACCCGCAGGCCCGCTCCTTTGCGGGGTGGGGAGGGAGGTGGTGGGGGGAGAAAGGGAAATTATTTTATTTTATTTTTATTTTTAATTTTCTAACTCGCCTTCTTTCCGCGGGTGGAAAAAGCGGACCGTGGCCGGGCTGGCCCCCACTCGCGTTGTTGCCGGCACCTCTTGCTGGAACCCCCTTTACCTTCCGTTTCACCCTTCCCTGTGAGACAGGGACCAGGCCCCCCCCCCAAGGGGGCGAAAAGAAGTGTCTGACCCACGGCCACTGGACAGTTAGCGCTGAGGTCGGGACTCTCTTTAAAAGACACGACAATGTCTTGCTGCTCTGACTGGGGGCTGGGGGCCAGAGTAGTGGGTGCCTGAGAGAACAATCCTTGAAAGCCAAGTCTTCCCGTGGCTCGAGTGGGAAGACCCACCAAGACTGTCTTCCAGGGCTCCCCACCCCTATCCCACCTCACCCCTCTGCTAGGGGACAGCTAAATGTGACCCTGCCTTGCTGTGAAATTCTGTACCTTCGACCTGGTGTTAGGTGTGCAAAGTCGTGTCCTACCTCTGTCTGTGCCCAGGCCCCTCCTGAGCCTCGTGGTCCCCTCTCCCCTAAACGTGTAGTGACCTCCTTTGAAATTTCCTAACTGGTATATTGAGGTTTCCTGATCTTTTACCAAGTTGTGTCCCACTCCATAGATTTATAGCTATAGTCTATGCTGTTGTTATTATCTTTATCGTTGTCTTTTTTTTTTTTTTAAGAGAGGAGTGGGAGGAATAAAAGATCTGGTGGAGGAGGCAGTGGAGAGATGAGGTTGGGTGTCTCCTGCTGGGGCCTGACTTTTTGTAAATACATTTCACAAGCTTTCCTTTCTACCCAGAGGGGCTGGGGGTGGGGGGGAGAGGAGGGTGCGCCTGGAATGTGATTCAAATCACCCAGCTCGCTTCGCAGGCGTGAGTGCGTGTGCACGTGTGCAGTCCCCCACCTTGCTCCTGTCCCAGAGGGACTGATGTGAAAAAAAAATTTTTTTTGGTGGCAAATAAAGAGATTTCATTCTGTTCAAAATTATTATTTTATTTGAACCTTTTATTAGCCCCTCTCTTCTTAAAACCCTCACTGCTCCTGAAGAGGAGAGGAAGAGGAGGAGGAGGAAGAGGAAAAGGCGGAGACAACAGCAGGCAGGCTGAGCACTGGCCTGTGGAGGTGAGGTGGGCCTGAGTCCCTAGCCTGCACCACCTCCTGTTTGGTGGGGACAAGAGTGAGGACATTCCATGGCCACTCTTAAGGGCTCCTTTCTCATGTGCAGCTCCAGTGGTGTCCAAATGCCCAGTGTTGCTCTCCGTTTAAGTACGCGTTTGTTGTGGAGGTAATTGTAACCATCATCAAATTTAAATTTATAGGAATTTTCTTGGCTCCACCACCCTCCCGCCAGATGTCTCCGTCTGTCACAGTTAAATGTGCAGGGCTGAGGATAAGGCGCGCACACACTCTTCTCTATGAGAAGGGTGCATTGGAATTTTTATATACAGTTTTGAGGGAAAGAGGGGAGAGGAGAAGCCAGCCCCCACCTCTCCTCTTCCTCTCTGAGAGCCCTGGGGATGGGAAGGTGGGGCCAGACATCTTCCCCAGAAGCACAAATGGCCAGTCCCCTCCAGACATTACAAGTCATCTGGGCAGGGGCCACCCTGGTATTTACACATTGTTGGGCATCCCAGAGTAGAAAGCCCCAGGGGGTTGTTTTATAGGGGTTGGCACAGGGAGGAGTACTAGGGAAGGAGGTGACCCTTCTGGGGACAGTCACCACACCCATGGATGTTTGCTGCATGCCTCCTCTGTATAAGACACCATGGTCCCTTTAGCACTTTCCCTGAGGGGGCTTGGTGGTGGTGGTGGTTGGGGGGGAGGGGGGCGGGCATTGGTCTATATTCCCAAATTCATTATTTGAGGGTGCAGGTTAGGAACCAATTCTCTCATCTTCCCTTTCTTTTTGTTACCCTGTCTTCTGTCCTGATGTGATTTACCAAAACACGTTTTTGCTGAGTTCATCTATTGATTGGAAGGAAAACAGAACAAAAGCACTACAACTGTGTGATGCAGGTTCTGTCACTGTTTTTGAAGGTGGGGAGAGTACAATTGTACCTGAATCCCTAATTTGAGTCTTGAGATGGAGTCTCACATGGGGTGTATGAGCATATCCAATAACACAGTTCCCCTCTGAGCCCAGATAAATCTTGTGTTGTCATCAATGTGCCGATGTGGATGTGGGCATGGGAGGGGAATGTTACGTGTACTCAGAGGGCATCTGAACACATGTGCACACCTAGGGCTTGTGTACTCCAAAATGTGTAACCAGCTACAGGAATGCAACAGGAGGTGTGTGTGTGAGAGAGAGAGAGAGAGACTTCTGCAGGTATATTTGTCCTTATGGGTGAACACTGGGCTGCCAGCCACATTTCCTATAAAATAGAAAGTGGTAACTACAGAATGAACTGGTTGGTAAAGCAAATGATTCCTCTTGAAAAGCCCCCAGAAAAGCCCCCCAGTTCCCAAAGGGGGTTTTGACCTATGAAGGGTCGCCTTGAAAGGAAAAACAAAGGCTTCTGAGGCCCAGGCCTGGGAACCTTCCAGTCCTCTGCAGTCCTCTAGAAACTGAGGGGAAAAGGGGGTGGGGGTAATCTCTTCTCCCCAAACCAGCCCACCTTGCAACTACCAGGCTGTCCACCCCCCACCTCTTCGGAGGGTCAGGGGCACTAGACTCAGCCTTGCAGGGTAATCCCCTCCAGCCGCCTGTGCTGCCCTAGAACAAAAGATTTTCGTCTAGACGCCCGCCATAAAGCGCCCCCCCCCCTCTGCGCCTCTAAACCCAGTTTCATTTCGCCCTTAATGACCCAGTCTGGCCTGTGTTAGAAAACGCTTCCGCCCTAACTAGTAAACAAACCAGCAGTGGATCCTCTTGGCTCCCCCAGCACACTTCAGATCTCCCCCTCCACCTCATCACCCCAATTGCCCACATTTTCCCTCTTCTTGTCCAGATTTTCTCAGCTCCCACTTCCCTACCCCCCTGGCCCTCCACTCCTCCCCCCACCCCACCCCAGTAAATAAACCCGAGGCCGAGTTCAAAGTTTCCTGGAGCTAAGGAGGAATGTTGGTTGTAAAAATCCAAGTTTATAGCGCACGTGGGAGTTTACAAGGGTATTAAGTGATGTGGGCTGAGAGACCCGCTGTGGACCCCCTCCCCCTCACTCTCCAGGCTTTGGGGTGCAAAGGAAACTTGGGAGAGTTGAAAGGAGAAATAGATGGGAGCAGCCTTGGGTTTGGGGTTCCCGTGTGCCGTCAGACTGGTAGGTTTCTGAGCAGGGATTGGACAATGACATCTTTGAAGAAGGCCCACAACCCCAGCTGAGCTTCTGAGAGAGAGCCCTGAGGTTGGGCCTGGGTGTCCCCCAGGGAGGGAGGGCCTGGGGGAGGGAGGCCAAGCACAAGAGGTCCCAGCCCTGCCTGGTATCTGGGAGGACAGTGGAGCCAGGGGTACCTGGAACTGACCCTCAAGGGAGGAGGATCTACTTGAGGCTCATTTCTCGAGTGGGCTGAGGGTAGAGAGGGCTTTTCACACCAGGGCAAAGAAGCACTTTGAACTTCAAGTGAGTCAAGGTCGCCATCCCTTCCCCCTCCCCACTCCCCTCAGGAATCTGTAGGACAATTCCTTTCTGGGCCAATATTCTCTGAAGAGGGCAGCCCCTGGGGTTTCCTGGTGTCCCCATGGGTCAAGGTGTTGTGTGCTGCACTCTCTCTGCTCAGAGTCCGCCAGAACAGTGTACACGCGACTGCCTTCTTTATTATTCATATAAAACTTTGGAAGAGGCAACGCCCTGGGAAGTTTTTATAACTTTGTTTGGCATAAAAGTTTTACAAGATTTCTCTTTCCTCACACACACACACTCCCCTTTTAAAAAACAAAACAACGTAGAGTTTGGGTCTTTTGGGCCACGGAGTAAAATGTCGGGATTTTTGTGAGGGAAGGACAAGAAGGGTGTGGGGCCTTGGGGAGTGGGCTTGAGACTGTTTCTTTTTGTCTACAGAAAAACAAGGTTTGAAAGCTGGGGTCAACCCTCCCTGGGGCCCACCTTGGATCTGACTTGGCAGGCTTTGGACTCTGTACACTCTGCTCCTGAAATGCCCCCCTCCCACCCCACCCAAAGAATGGACACATCTAGATTGCATCGTCTGGGGGTTCCCTAACAACGAGGACACGAAATTGATACTGGCAGAAGCAGACCCCTTTTGCTCCACACGCCCTTACGCTGGCATCCGGACCAGCTGCACCTAGCACAGACCCCTACCCTTGACTAGGACTGCCAGTTGGGGGAGAATCTCCGCTCCACACAGCCCTGCGCTCCCGCCTCCTGCAAAGAAACAATGGATTTGAAAGAAGCAAGAGTCTGCACCACCAGGAAATTCCTGCCCAGAGATTGAAGGAGAGAAGGCAGAGGACCTGAGAGCGGCAGAGGACAGGGAGTGTGGAGAACAAAGGTGCCGGTCCGGTGAGGACACGACTTTGGGCTTCTGAGCTGCGGTGACCCCTGGACCTATCCCCACCTGAGACTGATAGAACCCCAGACCCAGACTTGGGGGCACCAGTGGGCTTAAATGGATACTATTTTAATGCAAAGCGAGAGGGTCCAGACAAAAGCAGACCTGGAGGACCAGGCCCCCTTTGGGCTGGTGGGAGCGAAGTTACCTGAAACGCTCAGGGAATCATCTTCGGCAGCCGGGAAGTGCCCTGAGCCGGCTCTTCCTTCCCTCTAACGCGATTAGCCGGGCCTGGCTGCTGGCTTCCAGGAGGCAGCCCTACCCTTCCCCTTGTGAGGGGCCGAAGGACGGCTGAAGGCTGGAGAAGGTCAACTCCAAGCCTGAGCAGTGGGGCTGAGGAGGGCCTCCTCGCAGGAGCCTGGTGCTTACTCCCACCCCCCTCTGGCAAGAGAAGAAAAGTAAGAAAGGCCAAGGAAGAAAGTCAAGGGGAAGGCAAGGGATGAGGCAAGCGGAGGCAGGCTGCCGGCAAAGAGCCGTGATCCGCTGACGGTCGAAGGAGAAAGCAGAAATACAACGGGAGTGGACGCGCCAAAGATGTAAGAAAGTAGAAGAGGCTGGGAAAAGGAGAAGGAGAAAACAAAGAAGGCGGGCAGCAAAGAAAATCTGAAAAAAGAGAAAAAGGCGATTAAAGAGAAAGGACGGGATTCCAAGCGGCGAGGAGACGGAACTCGGGTGGGGAAGAGAGTCGAGCGCTGCCCAGAAAGCTGCATTGGGCCCAGGGCTTCTTCGGTGATCCCTGAAGAAGAATTTAGCGGCCGTGGGGGCCGTGGGCTGGTGGCCTCGGAGTCGGCCAGTTCCGCCGCAGCCAGGTTCAACCTGGAAACTCCACGTACTGGGGCGTCTTGGAGGCAAATCATTAGAGTGGGGAGCAGGGGCCCCTCCCTCCCCAAACTTCCTCCTACCCATTTCCTCTTCCCAAAGCTTCTCTCCGAGGTGAGGTGAGGTGTTTGCTGCCCGGTAACCATGCAGGAGACAAAAGTTAAGTAACTGGCCGTTTTAAGGAACCCAGTGGGCTTCGGCCAGACAGGAAGGCTGCGGGCGACTACAGCGGTTTCTCAGACTTGGGGCTCCATCCAGAGAGCGATGTCAGGGAGCACTAGGGAGAAGCGGGCCTATCTGTGCCTGGATGCACACAATGAAGTACAAGTTAGACAGTGTACAGACTCACAACTCCAGAGCATCTGGACACAAGTGTGTACAAGGTCCAGATGTGTGAGCAAGCAGACTGCTGCCGCCGCTGCTGTGAATTCGAAAGGACCAGCCGCAGCCCCAAGGGTCTGGGCTCCTCTCCTTTTTCTTTGTACCTGTTTGTTTGCTTGTTCGTTTTTTCTAATTTTTTTTCCTCTGAGCATCCTGCCGGCATTTTGCTGGGGATTTTCCTGCTTCCAATTAAGCTGGAGCAGAGGCTGATGCTGACGAAGAGAAGCGAATCTTGTCTTTCTTTTTTGGAGGAAAGAATGATTTCTCTGGGCCTCCAAAAAAAGAGAGAGAGAGGGGAGGGGTGGGGAGAAAGGAGAAATGGCATAACTACCAGGAGTTGTTGTGTTTTGTTTTTTTTGCTGGAAGAGATTTCAAACCAGACATTTTTATTTTCGTTTTCATTTTATTATTTCACCCCAAAGGCAAGAAACACTCCTCCTTTTTTCACTCCATCTTCGGAATTCCCCGGCTGCCTTTCTAATGCTTGGAAAGACACTGGCCATTTGTGATAGAGAAAGCGGGGTGCTTCTGGGTGTTTTTTAGGAGGAAAGCTGCAAAAGAGCTGTCAGGCCTTTTGGTTCTTTGCTGGGGTGTTCCCACAGGAGTGTCCAGACCCTCCACCGCCCTCTGCAAACCCCTGGGTTCCTCTGGAGCACACAGGAGATGCCTGCACCCCTGAGCCTGGGCCCCCTCCTCCACCTTGCCTCTGAAGGCCAGGCAGTCTGCCCTCTGAGGGGGGCTGCAAGGGCCCCGGGCTCTTAGGCTGGGGAGCACTTGGGAAGCTAAAAGTTCAGCTCTAGCCTAACCTGCAGCACCTGAATTTTCACATCTCCAGAGATGGGGCTCGAAGTGGGAGCCCCTGGGAGTCAGGCAGGGGCTCTGGATCTCTTCGCAGCAGAGAAAAGTTGGGGAAATGGCTTCACAGGTGTGTGTGGGGGGTGGGGGGAAGGTTCCTGGGGCCCTAAGCCAGGGGCCTTGGTGGTGCAGACTGGAGGGTCTTGGCCCTGTAGGGCAGGGCCACTGGGTGCTTGGCAGCAGCGGCAGACCAAGTGGCTGTGGTGGGCCGAGTGCCTTTGAATGCCATGCCTGGACAATAGGACAGAAACAGCCCACGCTCTGGCTCCTGGCCTCCTGGAAAGTCCGAGCCCAAGAGGGCAGGGCCAGACCTGCACCTATGCTCCCCTCACAGGTCTTCCACATCCGCTTCTTTCTTTATGCTGCCTCTGAGACAGGCCCCCAAAGTCTGCGCCAACCTGACCAGTTCCCCCAGTCTGCAGCCCACAGGCCAGCACCGAGAGGCTGGGCTCTAGTTTAACAGAGCCCGATTTGCGTTCATCCTGCATAATTAGAGGCAAACATTTGTCCCACCGGGGGTCCCACTTAGGCTGATGAATTTGATTTCTTTTTTCATTAATGGGCCGTGTTTATCATACTTCTAATTATTTCAACTTTAAACACTATTCGTTCTTGTGAGGAAGTGGGAGTCCATGCGGGAGACCTCTTCTCCCCTGGGTATTATTTCCATTAATAATAGCACCAATTCTGAAGAGGCATCAGCTTCCCACCCTGACTGGTCTGAAGTGAGGGGTAGGCTGGAATTGGGGTGGGGGGGAGGTCGGTCTGGTTTGGAGGGTCAGACAGGCCCTTGGGCCCAGTAACTTCACCCCTCTCCCCCACTGGCTGCCCAGGTTATGTCTATGGCCCTGTGCTTTTTTTGAGAAATGTGCAATTTGTCTCCTTGGATCTCCGAATCCGGCTCCCCCACCTTGGCCTCTGCCGACCTCTGCCTGGGCCGGGACTCTTCCTAGAGACCTTCCCTTCCGCTTGCCCTAGCCTGAGCTCAGCCTGCCGGCCGGCCGGCCAGCAGAGCCCCAACAAAGCCGCCTCAAGCCTCAGCTCTAACACGGAGAGAGAAACAAGGACAACAGGGCAAGCCAAGCCAAGGTGGCCCTGGGGTTTGGGAGAGATGGTCCACCAGACTCCAAAACGGGGGAGCAAAGGCAAAGGACTGGGAAGCCAAGCTCCCTGAACAGGCACACCCAGGAGAAAAATAAAGGAGATGGGAAAGAGGGGGGAGGGAACCCCCCCAAAGCCATATAATTCTCAATTGCTTTGGTCTTTAATTTCATCGCCCTATAAATGAGGAAATATCAGTTCCTGTACTAAATTTTTATCCCCAGCTGATAAATATGACGGGGAATTTTCGTTGGGTCCTCATAAAAGCGAACGGTTTCGATCAAACTGGTGGGGAGAGACTTATGCAGATAATACAAACAGAGTAGCCATAAAGTCTCAGCCGCTTCCCGCGGGGTGGGCTGGGGGGACAAATGGCTCCCTGACTTGGCTGCTTCCAGAGCTGTCCCAAGTCTCCTCTGGTCCTACGCAGCCTAACCTTGCCCGGAACAGAGCCCAAGGCGACCCCTGCGTATGAAAACACAAAACCATTGTTCCGAAGCTCCCCTGGCCAGCCCTGCCCAGTCACCCAATCCAAGTTTTCTTCCCTGATTCTCGGGGTTCGCAGGGCCCCATGGCCTTCCATGTCGGGGGTTTCCGGGCCCCCTCATGGGGGAGTTAAAGGGTTTCTTCAGACAGGCTGCTCAGGCTTCTCAGGCCTGGGGTCCAGCCTCCGCGCCGGCAGCTCTAATCCGGTCGGCGGGGTCAGACCTTCCAAAAGTGGAAACCAGAGGCTTGGTCCAGAGGGGATAAAAATGTGGGACAACAGGAAAGACCAGTTAGTCCCCGATTCCCTTTCCTGAGGAAAGGGTGGAGAGTTAAGTTCGCTTTGGGAGAAAGGGAAGGAAAAAAAAAAAACGGAAGGAGCTATTTGAAACACAGTTCCCCCTACATCTTCTTTCCCTTTATTGTAACAAACCACAAATAGACTTGGCCCCTGGCTCCTTTGGGGGCGGGGGAAATCCCTTGGCCCCTTCACCCTGTTGCGGACACTCCTCTGGGCCGGATTCTTTCCCCTCTGGTCTGAGGTTCCCGTGTGGCATGCGACTGTCCCTGGCTCCGCGGCTCCCCTCTTTCTGGCCCGGAAGATTCGCTGCTTTAGTGGGGGGCAAGGTCAAGCCGAAAGGTAGGGCCCCGCATCTGCAGCAAAGCTGTCCACTCAACCGGCTCCAAGGCCAAAGCCTTCCCACCCTTGCGACGGCGACCCAGCAGCTGCCACTTGGGCAGGCCAGGCCTCAGCTCTGGGGCGGCAAGCGGGGCATCCGGTGGCCGGCTTCTTCGGCCTCTCCGCTCCGGTCAGTGGAAATCTGTTTGCGGGAGTAGTCCTGCAGTGACCGTGACCCCCTCCCTGGCTCACCCGGACCCTGCAGTTCCAGCCAGTCTGCAGAGTGTGCGGTCCGCCAACCTCCAAAGACCCGCGCTCTTCCCAGCGTCCACGCCCGGGGGACCGAGCCCGGGGACCAAGAGGCAGGGGTGCAGAAACTTTAGTCCTGTCGGGATTCTTAAACTTTCCCCCCTTTTTCTCTGCCCACCGGAACACCCCCTAAAACTTCACCCTGCCCCCCCACCCCGGGGGAGAAAGCCAGGGGGCTCTAGGAGGGTAAAGGGGGTGGGGAGGAGAGGCAAGTACCTGAACGGTGTCTCGACCTTTTAATTTGAATTTGACTGTTTTGAGCCCCCGAGTTGCCTCGCGCTCTCTTCACCCCCCCTCCTCCCCCTTCTCCCCAGGATCTACAGGCTGGTTCCCGGGTAAACAAACCCCACTCTCCCCCAGGACCCCCTCCCGGCTCCCCCCCACCCCTCCCGCCCCGGCCGCCCCGGGGGCGCTTCCTTTGTTCGCGGGGAAGGGCTCCGGCTCCCCTACCCCGAGGCGGCTGCTAGGTGGCGCTGGTACTCCATGCTGTGCGCTCCGCCTGCCGACAACTTGACCCCGCTGACGTCACGGCCGTCTGAATCATCAAGGCCATTTTCAAATCCCATTGGTCTAGCCGTCACATGGTGAGGCCCGAATGCGCGGATAATTATGGAGCTGATATTTCCCCCCTCCCCTTCTCTTCCCTCCCGCCCCTCTAGCCGGGCTCCCCCCATCACCCCCCGCCCTCCCGGATGGGGGAAAAAAAAAAAAAAGATGTCAGCTCCTCCGCTGTAGTATTGCTCCTTAAAAACCCCTCTCTCTGAAAATGACATGCCCTCGCAATGTAACTCCGAACTCGTACGCGGAGCCCCTGGCCGCGCCCGGCGGAGGAGAGCGCTATAGCCGCAGCGCAGGCATGTATATGCAATCTGGGAGTGACTTCAACTGCGGGGTGATGAGGGGCTGCGGGCTCGCGCCCCCGCTCTCCAAGAGGGACGAGGGCAGCAGCCCCAACCTCGCCCTCAACACCTACCCGTCCTACCTCTCGCAGCTGGACTCCTGGGGCGACCCCAAAGCCGCCTACCGCCTGGAGCAACCTGTTGGCAGGCCGCTGTCCTCTTGCTCCTACCCACCTAGTGTCAAGGAGGAGAATGTTTGCTGCATGTACAGCGCCGAGAAGCGGGCGAAAAGTGGCCCCGAGGCAGCGCTCTACTCCCACCCCCTGCCGGAGTCGTGTCTCGGGGAGCACGAGGTCCCCGTGCCCAGCTACTACCGCGCCAGCCCCGGCTACTCGGCGCTGGACAAGCCCCCGCACTGTGCTGGGGCCAACGACTTCGAAGCTCCTTTCGAGCAGCGGGCCAGTCTCAACCCGCGCGCCGAACATCTGGAGTCGCCCCAGCTCGGGGGCAAAGTGAGTTTCCCCGAGACCCCTAAGTCCGACAGTCAGATCCCCAGCCCCAGTGAGATCAAGACCGAGCGGAGCCTGGCGGGCCCCAAAGGCAGCCCCTCCGAGAGCGAGAAAGAGCGGGCCAAGACCGCCGGCTCCAGCCCGGACACCTCGGATAACGAATCGAAAGGTAAGGCCGCCTGGGCCGCGGGCCCGGCTGGGACGCTGGGGTAACCAGGTCTCTGTGGACAGGCCGGGAGGAGGGCGCCCGGAAGGGTTGGGCCCAAGCAGCCTCGTCTGCGGGGCGCCCCGCGAGTGGCGTGTGATTTGGCTGGGAAGGTAAAGGGCGACGTGGAGGTGCCTGCCCGGCCGGCCGCGCGCGGCCGTGGACGCAAAGGCAGGGAGGTGCGCACCGCAGGCAGCCTGCGGGCAGCGGGTGGTGCCCAGGGCAGGGGACTGTTCCAGGCGCCTGGCTGGCTGTGGATGGCCTGGTCGAGGCTGGTGTCCTGGGGGCCTCCTTTCCCCCTCCTGCTTAGGTCAAAGACTGAGAAAGAAAAAAAAGCTTAAAATGGCGATCTTGGGCCAGAAGACTAGGGAAGGTTTGAGAGAGACTTTCGCTTTATTGCGTTTTCCCAGTGGAAAATGGTTTTCCTGCGAAACGTAATTTGTTGTTTGTGGGTCCTATTCGTGCCTGTGTTTTGGGCTTTTGCGGTTTGGGGGCTTGGCCCTGGCCTTTGGCACCCAGAGGGGTTGGGGCCTGGAAGAGGTGGAGGTGAACGGCTGCCGCTGCCTGGCCATTTCCCTCCCACCCCCAGATACCCCAGCTAGTGGATGACGTTTGACCAGGGCATGTGGAATGTTAAGTTGTTTTGTTTTGTTTTAATCTCCTCTTTTAAATTATTTTCTTTTCCTTTTCTCTCGTTAAATTAAAAAAATTTTTTTCCTCTTTAATTTCAACAAGAGCTACCCAAACAGCTTACAAATGAGTGGTTAGGAAATTCTGTGTGTGTGGCAAGTGGTTTTCTCCTGAACGACAGTGTGATTTCATAGTGATTTGGGCTGGAGAAAGTCTAGCCAAAGTTCAAGCTCAGGGTTCAAGATTCATTTCTGCTGCAGGAGCTGGGAGCCTGCAGATCCTTTTTCTCCGACTTCTGGAGTCTCCAGAACAGGAGCAGGGGGAGCAGGCTGAGGGAAATGACTTCCCCTGAAAAGTTGAAGCAAAAAGCGTCAGAAAAGGCCCAACGGGGGAAGAATAAACCAGCCCCCCACCCCCAGACGCTATCTACTGGCTGCCTGGTTTATAAGAGTAGCTCAATTAGATTGTAGAGGCATATAAAATAGTCAGAGCGCAGGAGGTGGGGGTGGCCCAGATCTTGTGGCTCTTTGTATATGGATGCAACCTGTGTCACATACACATACACACACACACACACACACCCCTCTCCCATGATCTGCACACGCTCACACCTGCCCCTCACACACGCACATGCACTCTTGGCAGGCAAGGGCAGGATCTCATCCTCTTGGGTCTGGCTCTGCCAAGATGGCCTTGCAAAACCCACAGGCAGAGAAACTGGCCGCAAGATGGACCCTGCTGTGTGTGAGGGTGAGGGAGCATGGGTGCTTTGCTAAGGTTCAATTTCACACCCACTCCTCAGACCCTGAAGCTTGGTTGAGGTCCAGGTTGGGAGAGGAAAAGCTGCATTTTAGCCCCACCAATTGCAAAGTCAAGGTGAACAACCCCACATTCTAACTCACTGCTACCCCCATTTCCAGTAGTTTCTCTTTTTCTTCTGCCCTCCCCCAAATCACCAAACCCCCACCCACCCAGCTGTGCCTGGAGAGGAGGGGGGAACTGGTGTTTTGCCTGTGCCCTTCTTTCCTTCTCTGTGGTGTCTTCCCCAGGCTAGAGGCAAAAGGGCTTTCAGCCAAACTTCCCCCTTGTAATTTCTGTTCCCCCAAACCTCAACAACCCCAATAAGCAAATTAAACAGGATGGACTTCTTGATACAGAGAGCCCTCATGAAATTGGAAGGAAGCTGCAGGTGCAGACAGGGAATAATTAAGGAAATCTAAAATTTTAGGACTGTATCACATCCCCCCTCTCTCCCCACCTCCTGTGTTGTCTGGAACTCCCACCCCCATCCCCAGTCAAGATAAGATTCCAGTGTCTGGGGTAGCTTCCCTGGGCAGAGGGAGGAGATCAGAGTGCAGAACCCCAGCCAGCAGCCGGCCCCAGCCTTCTCCTGGTGCCCCTGTCAGTGCCTGGACTCTGGGTTTTCCCTGGAAAAGATCACCAAGGTGCTTCTGCCCCTCTCAGCAAGAGTGTATGCCAGCCAGAGAAGCTAGCAATCAGGAGACAGACCCACAATCCTGGTCATCTCTCCTTATTTAAGTATATACTGCTCCTCTGTGTGTGTGTGTGTGTTTGTGTGCAGGGGGGCAGGTGTGTCTCCAGATATCCATACCTACACCCACACATTCTGGCCAGATTTTCCATTGCATTTCCTCCACATAGCTGTTTCCCTTGACCTTAGCTCCTGTAGCCAGGACCCTCAGCATGCCCCAAAGCTGTTGTCCCTGACCTCTGCTGCCCACACAAGCTCCCCTGCCCCAGCTCCACATCCCTGCAGGGATGTCCAGGAGAGGATGAGCAGGCATGAAATCAGATGGGATCAAGGGCTGGGGGCTTGGTGCAGGGATGGTAGCAATGTCCCCTGGCCACCGGATTGAATGACTCTAAGATCTCTGTGAACTGCTCTGGGCAGCGGGTGGACTCTGAACTGGAGCCTTGGCTTTTGGTAGGTTTCTTCCAGTGGGGAGTGTGTGTGTGTGTGTGTGTGTGTGTGTGTGTAGTGCCTGGTAGGCTTTAGGCAGCCACAGGGGTGAGCAAGCTAGAGGAGAAAGTGAGAGTACTCAGGTCTTCTCCTCAAGGTGGACTTGGGCCACTTCAGTTTAATAAATGCTTGGGAAGCAAGAACCCCCTCCTACCTCCCTGTAAGGCTAGCCTCCAAAAAAATGCTAAGAGCCTTGGGTCCAAGAAGTACCCTGGCCAGCCAGGCCTTCGGGGTCCAGAGCAACTCCCTCCCTCGAGCTAACCCTCTAGGCAGGGCCCCACTGCTGGCTGGCCCAGGCTGCAGCTCGCAGAGAGGTTTTGCCTCTTCCAGGGATACTTATGTAAATAATGTTATTTTTAACAGAGGAGATAAAGGCAGAAAACACCACAGGAAATTGGCTGACAGCAAAGAGCGGAAGGAAGAAGAGGTGCCCCTATACTAAACACCAGACGCTGGAATTGGAGAAAGAATTTCTGTTCAATATGTATTTGACGCGAGAGCGCCGCCTGGAGATTAGCAAGACCATTAACCTTACAGACAGACAAGTCAAAATCTGGTTTCAAAATCGCAGAATGAAACTCAAGAAAATGAACCGAGAGAATCGGATCCGGGAACTGACCTCCAATTTTAATTTCACCTGAGCTTTCAGTCTCCCCTCCCCCTCCCCCTCGCCGGCCCCTCCCCCCCGCCCCTCCTCCCTTTGTGCCTGGTGGTATATATATATGTTTCCCTCCTCCGTGAGTATAAATGCAACACGCCTGCAAAAAAAAAAAAAAAGAACGACCTCAGACTCTCTTCCAAAGGACGTATGTTTGTGCTGTGAAACTGCTCCCACCACAAGCATGAGAAAACGGGGTGTCTGTGTGAGGGGTGTGGTGTATGCCCGCAGAGAGGGGGGTAGCAGTGTGGCTGGTATGTATGTCAAGCCCTCGATCACTCACGCACTCACACACAGCATCCTGGTCTTCATGAAAGTTAAGGTCGAATCCACCCGATTGTAGGGGGTGGGGAGGGCACCACGGGAAGAGAAGGAAAAATCAACCAGAGAGGTCTGTAATCTCTGCAGAGCACAGCCAGCTCACCCCTTCCACCACTGCATTCCCTCCTTAGAATAATAGACATTTCGGAAAGTTCAGCTAGTGTTTTGTGTGTGTTGTAGCGCCCAGCACCTCCACGGAATCCCTCTCCGTGTCTTTAGCTCCCAGTCGCTCTGAGAATCTGCTTGAAGTCTCGTATTTGTACTGCTTTCTGCTTCCCTCCCACCCCTTCCAGCGCCCCCACAAACCCCCTCCACCCCATCCACTGACATCTCAGAAATCTCATCCAGAGGAGCAAACAACAGAAATAAGTATGTTGAGAAATTTTAAAAGGACATAGCAAAAACCAAATGTCACACTCCCCACCCCACCCCCACCCCTACCACCACCACCACCAATATCACCCTTTCCAGATCTGGGAGTTGTGTTATTTAAAGATATTCTGTATGTTGTACCTCTTGCATGTAGCTTCCTTAATGGAGAAAAAAATCCTAATAAATTTCCAGAATCGTCATCCTCAAATGGGTGGTTTTTTTGGTTTTTGTTTTTAGTGGTTTTTAGCAGCACCCCCCCCCCAAAGAGGCTGCGTGTGTGAATGTGTGTGTTTTGTGTTTGCCTCCTCTCCCAGAGCCTTCCTAGAACGCCTCTTGGCGGGTTTAATGTAAGTGAGAGACCATAACGTTGATTTAAATATTATCCAGGTGACCACAATAAGTCAAGGTCATAAAACAGTAATGTCAGGACGGTCTTGGTGCGCGCGAGAGGTGGATTTTATGATCTGCAAATATAATGTGGTGCTGCAGTAAAAGATGCATTTAAAGGTGACTGGAGGAGGGAAGGAGACAGAGAGCAAAACGCAATCTTGAGGAGCAGACGGATCTGATTGCCTGGGGTACTGGGCCCGGCAAACCCCACTGTTGCTGGGGGGCACCCCAAGAGCCCCCACCCACTCAAGCAGAGGAATAAACTTAACCGCCGGAGGGGGGCAAGGAGCTCAGCCCAGCCCCCCCTCCTGGACAGCAGCAGCTGAAGCGCAGGCAGAGGCAGAAGGAGGAGGCAGCGACAAGGTAAGGGAAGCGGTTTCTTCCTCTTCTCTTGGCGGTGGAGTGGCGACTCGACTCTGGGCGTCCCCAGGTGCCCGCACCGGCGGGCCGGGCAGCGCACAGAGGAAGAGTCTTGGGCTTCAGTCTGGGGCTTGCCCAGAGCCCAGGCTCACCTGGCCCCTTCTCTGGACGGTGCGCAGTGGCCAAGGGTTCCTGCTCCTCCCTCCCTAGCCCTAGCCTTGGGGTTCGGAGGCAGTTAAAGGGGTGAAATGGGGGTTTGGGGCACCTTTCTCCTGGCGTGCGCTTAGGCTCTCCTGGAGGTGGACACACTGGTCTAGGTGTCTCTCAGGCTGGTTGTCTGCTGGGGGTGGGGGCAAGGGGATGCCAGTGGTGTGTGAGAGCCGGCGTCGGGCTTGAGGATGCTCAGGTTTTCCTGCCTTCTGCTGGATTGGGTGGGAGCCTCATGCAGGCTCTCCGACCCCAAGGTCCCTGGTTGCGGAGCCTTGCCAGCGTAGTGGCCTGATTGGAAGGGACTCTGGAGCCCAGGCGCCTCGGTTCAGTCACAGAGACGCCAGAAGCAGAAGCAGAGCTCCTGGAGGGAGAGGAAGAGAGGGCAGGAGAGACAGATGGACTCACCCAGCCTCCCTCAGAGCCAGCGCCAGAGGCAGGGGCTACCTGCCCCGCAGTTCTAAGGTCAGGGCGGGGATTTAGCGGCCAGCAGTCCCACTTTACCAGATTGTCCGTGGGACAATTTTCTGAGAACAGAGCTGATGAGGCAGGCAGACACACACACATCCACAACCCACCCAGCCACCCCAAGTCCATTCTCTGGTCTTTAGGGAGGTTAGGGGGGGCGGAAAGGGGGACGGGGCTGAATTTCTTCCTTCCCCAACCCCCTTCCCTTCTCCTCCGGATAGATGCAGAGCCAACCTCCAGCCCTGCTTGCTCAGCTGATCTGTGACTTAGGTAGTTTCATGTTGTTGGGATTGAGTGTTGAACTCGGCAACAAGAAACTGCCTGAGTTACATCAGTCGGTTTTCGTCGAGGGCCCCCAACCCACGTCCTGCTTCCTTTCTCCCAAGTGGGGCTGTCCCACCACCCCCTCCACCTAGGGCAGAGTGGGTGCATCAGAAGGAGGGCCAGCTGTGAGGGCAGCTGCAGGAGAGTCTGAGGAGTCCTGCTTTCTTCCCTCCCCTCCTCAGCCTGTCCCAGGCCCTGTGACTGTGGGAGAGGAGCTTCTCCTGCAGCTATTGTCTCCTGGGCCCAGCTGATGGAGACAGACAAAGAAGGTGCAGCCAATTCCTAGGAAAGGCAGGAGTTTGAGGAAGAGGTCACCTGAAGGGCCTCTGTTCAGTTGGGCAGCAGGCTGGCGTGGGATCTTTAGCAGAGAGAGGGACATAGAAAGAATTGAGAGTCTCAGGAAGGGCTGGCTTTTCAAACCTGCCATCTCCAAGGACAGCATCTGTCCCACCCACCCACCCCCACAGTCAGAATGGGCTAGAGCTTCCCCTTGAAAAGTGGGGTGCCCAGGGCTACCAAGAGTTGGGGGACTCTGAGTACCAGTCCAGCCACCTCACCTCCCGGATGCCTTTTTATCATTCTGGAGGGGAAAACAACATGGTTAGGATGATCTGAGGTTAAAGCAAAGTCAGGGGACCCAAAGAGAAAGCCCCAGCAAAACACCGCCCCACACCAATGGGAAATAGGGCAAGAGCCTGGCTTTGGTCTCTGGCTGGCTGGCTGTGGCCCGGCAGGCCTTGGTCTGCATGTCTGAGTGTCTGTGGTAGGCAGGCAGCTGCCTGTCTTTGCGCTGAGAGGAAATGCCTGGGTGAATGGAGGTGGCCAGCACCCCTATCACCATGTTGTTGCAAAGGTTGGTGGCTGCCAGGGGGCAGGAGGGAAGGAGAGAGGAGTGGGGGTCATCTGAGCAGTGTGGAAACTTTGCAGAGCTTCTATCACTCTTTCCCGCTTTGGTTTTCTCCATTCTGGCCCTGCTTACTAGGGAGAGACCCTCAAAAGAGGTCTCCCCACCTGCCAAAATGGGGGGGGGTGTCTCAGAGATAATGGGGAGATATACTCTCATTCTCAGAGAGAGAGACTGAGAAAGAGGAAAGTTAAAAGCAGGGGGCATTCTTGGCTCTCTTGCTTTGGAATGATTATGATTACTTAAAACAATATAAACTTCCAAACAGGGGAACCAGATTGCACCCCTGTCATCAAACATCTACCCCAAGCTCTGTTCTGGAGGCTGCTCTGTAGGGAGACAGTGGAAACCTTGTCCTGGTGTGGGTCTCTGTTCCTAGGCTATCTCCCCAGGCGCTCGCTCTCAAATCCTGTGTATGTTTACACACATACTACTCATTTCTCTCTCTTTGGACCCTCTATAGAATAGAGGAAAAAGATAGAAATGGAATTTTTCCCCCTTCCCAGCTGATTTTGTTAGCTTGTCTTTCTGTTGCCTGTTGCCTACCCCTTTCTGGGAATACACTGGGAGAGGGGAGGATCTACACCCCCCCTTTCCATAGTTTCTGGGCAAATAAGGAAGCTTCCAAAGAGGCAGGCCAGCTGGTCTGAGCCATTGCAAGGGGGCTCCCAACCCAGGGGAACCCCTATAGAGCCTCTGTGTCTTCAGACTGCCCTAGGCATGGAGCCAGTTGGGTTGAAGGGAGTCCCAAGGAGGGGCGGCCACTCAGAAGTTCCAGGCTTGGAGACAGTGTCCCCTGATGGGCCGAAATTCACCAATGAACGACTTTTACCCTCTGGGTCCCTCTACCCCCATTTCCGCTTTAGGGACAGCAGGCTATGAGGGGGGTTGCAACAAAGCCCAAGTCCTGGTGTCCCCCTCCCCAAATTCCAGGGGATAGGGCAAGGTCTCTTAGGGCCAAGGTGAGGGCCAGTCTGGTGGCCAGAGTCCAGTCCGGGGGGGCCCTGAGGCTGTGGATCATGGCTAAGGCGATGGTGATGAGTTATTCGCTTTGCTGGAAGAAAATCTTCCCGAAGGATCAGCATGAGGAGGAGGGGGAAAAAATTATCTCTCTCGTCTGAGGATATTAAGATGGATTTTTATTTCTTAAAGGACCCTCCCCGCCGAGAGCGCATAAGCGTAAACTTAATATATGCTCCGCAGCCCAACTCCAGAAATCGCAATAAAAGTTAAAACCTCCCCTACTGGTTTTTTTTAATTATGATATGGGAAAGAAGAGCAGGATTTATAGAGCTGAACTCTCGGCGTGTGAGTGTTTGAGACTTGCAGGAGCAGGAGGAAACGGTGGCGAGAGCTCGCCAAGGAGCATCTTGGGCTCTGAGCTACCTCGCGGGCTTCGGGGACGCCAGCTCTGCCCCGGAGGATACTCGGTGGTCCCTCTGGAACCTCGGCTCCTCGGCACCCTCAGCTCTGGCCCAGCGCCTGGCTTCGGTTCGGTTCGGAGACGCAGCCTTTCTCGGGAACAGGTGACGGGCGGTGGCTGCCTGGGGCCGGGCCGGGACTCTGGGTTGGACTTGCCAGGTCGCAGGGCTTTGTGTGGGTCGCGTGCTGGGCAGAAGGTTTGATGTCCGAGGCCCGGCCCCGGCCGGGGTGACCCGCGGGCGGCTTGGCTAGGAAGGGCCACCGGCCAGGCAGGGAGAGCCGCCGACCAGGTGGATGGTCTGTGGACTTTGGCCGCAGACAGCGAGCGGGCGAGCTCCGGGGCGGAGGCCGGCGGCCAGGCGGGCCCCCGGATGTTGAGTCTGTTGGCAGGACCTTGAGGTTTGTTTGGTGTTTGGGCTGCCGGGGGGCGGCGGCCAAGAGTGCGGAGCGCGCGGTGCACGGCCGGGCGCTCCGCGTGGGCAGGCAGCAGGCTCCCGGGTTGGGAGCTCCGTGGTCAGGATGTCAGAAGTGAGGCCGGTCCGTGGTCACGGCGTGACAAATAAATGCAGTCAAGGATTTCTCTCTTTCTCTTTTTTTCCTTGGCCACAGGGGAGGTCTTTTCATTTTTCTTTCTTTCGAGCTACCTGGATTTGGTCCAGAGCAGGTTGCCCGCGGGAGGGCCCGGGAGCGGCAGCATGCGAGGGAGGGAGAGAGGGAGGGAGGGCGAGGAAGAGGGAGGGAGGGAAAGGAGGGCGGGCGGCGGCGGCGGCGGCGGTGGCCGAGGCTTCCCTCCCTCGGCGGGAGGCGGCTGCCCAGCGTCTGTGGTCGTGGGGAGCCGAGGATCAGGTAACCCAGCGGCTTCCCGAGGTGGGGACTGGACGGAGCCGGAGGGACCGCGCTGCCAGCTCTCAGCCCGAGGCCCTGGAGGCGAGAGAAGGTAGGGAGACCGCCTCCCTTGGGGCCTGGCCCGCAGGCCTGGGAGAATGTTGAACCTGTATTTGATTTCAGGCTCACACTCATGCTGTGAGTCTGTCTGTCTCTGTCTCAAAAGATGCGGTTTGCCTGTTGGCCTGTCTGTCTGTCTGCTGGTCCGGAGGTCCCAAATGCTGGGCTCTCCTTCAAAACGCTGGTGGGGGTTGGCGGGGAGGAAAGGTGGGGGGAAATTCGTCGGAAGGTGCACTTTCATTCATTGGCTTCTCCGCGACTCACTGGGGCTGGTTGCTGCGCCCCTAAGTTGGAAGGGAGCGTTCCTCCCGCTTTCTGGGTGCAGGGTCCTCTAGCGCCCTCAGCCACAAGCCAGTGTTTCTGGCTCCAGGTTCTCAGCTGGCCCTGAGGTTTGAAGCCAGACAGCTTCTAGTTAGGCAGGGAGGCGGGTGAGAGACGAGCCGCTCGGGGCCCCTTAATTGTATTGTCTCTCCTTTCGCCACCTTCGTTCGCTTCCTCAGTCTAGGCTCCAAAGTCACTGCAAATTTCCTCTCGACACACACGTCAGAAAAGATCAGGTACCAAGCAAGCGCTCGGGGCCGGGAGGCAGGCATGGGGGCAGAGAGCACCCCTCGCCCTAGGGCTGCTCCGCATCCAGTCACTCCTCAGGCTGGGGAACTGGAACGGGTTGGGGGAGCCGGAAATGGCCCCGTCTGCGGCGGCGGGCTGCGAGACAGGGGCGCCAAAGGGAAGGCAAGCCAGGCAGGCAGGCCCTGGCACTGAGAGGGCCATGTTCACAGTCCCGGGGGCATTTACTCCTTCTGGGTTGGGGGCCTGCCCCCTGGTGTGTAGGGATCCCAGATACCCACCTGGGGTGGGGGCAGGACGCCCCGGCTCCTTGCAGCAGGCCTGGAGAATTCAGCTTCTTCTTGCACAGCAGGCCTGGGCTAGGAGGAATTGTGTGTATGTGTGTGTGTGTGTGGGGGGGGTGTTTTTTCCCAACAAAGAGGGATCATCAGGAAAGAGAAGGGGGGAAAGTCATCGAGGGGAGCCCTGGAGGGGGCGGGGAGAGGGGAGAAGACAGCGGGAGAGGAGGTGAAATGAGCCCATTTCAGGGAAGAGAAGGAAAATGAAAGAAAAGGGAGCAATGGACCTCGGCCTGCTCGGAGCAGGGGAGGGGTGCTGGTGAGGAGCTTGGGAGAGGACTCCCTGCCTGCTGGAATTGGGGCAGCCTGCTGGTCCCCCCCAATAAAAAGCCTGGTTTAAATTTAATCCGAACTTGAAGGTGCAGACTGAACCAGAGGGAATTGAAATCACTAAAAGGGAGGTGGGGGGGACAAGTGGAGGGGAGGTCTCTAGCCTGTCTTTCTGTCTGTCTCTCTTTTCTGGTGTGTAGGCTCTTGGGACAGAGCTATGGTCGCAGCTGCTCAGGTTTGAGGTGCTGGAGTAGGGATGCCCCTCCCCCTTAGGGTACTCTCTTGCACCCTGCGAGAAATCTTTCAGGGTGGGAGGGGAGCTCTTCAAATCAGAGTGAATGCAGCGCTGCCTACTCAACCTAGGACCTCCCCCTCCCCGTAAGGACTGCCAGAGGCCTAGGGTCCCTCCCTCGGGTTCACCCACTGGTGCTGAGGGAAATGGAAGAGAGTGGTGGTGCAGTGGAAAGAGGGCGCTGTGGAATCTGGCAGGAAATTCCGAGGGAATAACTGAATCCGGGAAGATGAGCCCCTCCTACCTGGTGCCCCCCACATCTCTTGAACTCCAGTACCCACAAGCCTGAATCTAATGGGGAGCCTAGAGGTCTGTTTCAGATCTGGGAGCTGCTACTCCACCTCCAACTGAGGGGACTGGGGACATGCCACTGCTGAACCTTCAGGACATAGGCCCTGGTGGGCAGGGGATTCCCAGCCTCTTCCAGCCCCCCTCCCCAAGCCGCCTATCTTGACAAGGCAAAGGCAAAGCGGGACATGGGCGGGAGGAGGGTGTGGGCGAGGCCTGCTTCCTGGTCCACAGCTGTGCCTGCGCCTGAGTGGGGAGGGTGCGAGTCCATACTCTGAAAGGAAGGTGTCAAGCTCCCCTCAGATTCACGGAGGATTTGATGGCAGCAGGGAGCGCAGAACCCAGATCCGGCTGCCTCTGGCCGCTGACTCCACTGGATGGGCAGGCTGACGGGCGGGGTGTGCAGGCAGCTGACGAGTTGAAAAGGAGTCCGGTGGCCAAAAGGGGTAGGAGAGAAAGGGATGTCTCTTTACCATCACAGCGCCTATTTGAGGGGCTCCCCCATATAGTGGAGACCCCTACCCCCCTGAGAGGAGGGTGTGTAGGGGCATCTTTGCTCTCAGGAGGCTGAGGGCAAGAGGGGCCCTTTCCCCAGGCGAAGATGCAAAAGAGGAGCGGGAAGTGAAGCGTCCTTCGTCTTGTCTGCTCCCTCACTCCAAAGTGCCTTGGCCCTTGGCGGCCAGAGCAGAGCGGAGCAGCTGGGAACGCAGTGTTCTATATCCCGAAGGCCTAGTGTGCCCACCGGAGCAGGTCTTCAGGAGCAGCGGAGGCTGCCTCTTCCTTCTTTGTGTTGGGACAGCAGTGGCGGCCGCGCCCCTAGGCAGCCCCGCAAGGAGAAGGCCCGGCCAGCTCCCGGCACAATGCCATGGCTGCCCCGCCAGCTTGCGCCCAGTCTCCGTCCTGTCTGCGCTTTGCCCGCGTCTTGCCTCCTGTCCTCGGCCTTGCTCTCGGCCCATCTTCCCTTCTCGCCTCCTTATCTTCTCCTCTGGCCTTTCTTCTTCCCTGCAGTCGCCCTGTCTTTTCTTTTTCTTTTTCACCTTTTCCTTTCTTAACCCTCCATGTCCTTGTATCCTTCCTTTCCGTGGGCCTGGCGCCGTGTTTCAGCTGGTCTGTCTTAGGCTGTCTCCGGATCAGTCTCTCATCTCCGTCCCCTGACGCCCTCTGGGTCACAGTTTGGCCCCAGGCCCGCCGCTGAAGGCTAAACGTCCCTGCTCAGTGCTGTCAGCAGTCGCCCCAGAGCCCGGCAGGGTCCCCAGTCGCCGCTGAGGGGCTGGGGGCGGTGCTGTCGGGGCTGGGTACTTGGAGAAAGCCTCCGCAGGGGCACGCGGGTCTCCAGGCTTTTCCTTGAACTAGTGAGGGAGGATTTTTGATTGACAGCTAACCCCACTCCATCAAGGCCAAAGAGGTATTCTGTTTCTTGTTGCGATTTGGATGTCCCCAGTCCTTCTGAGCCCCCCGGTGGAGGAGACAGTCTAGCGGAGGGCGATGAAGCAGGCTGAGGCCCCTGGGCTGTATGTAGGCAGCTTTCCCTCGCACCCCTTCCAGGCGTCCAAATCCAGCCCGGATAGACCGAAAAGGAGAAAATAGAAGAAGGGGAGGAGCAGGGACTGAGAAGGGGGGTGCTGCTAGGCCAGGGTTGATGCTGCTGCTGGCTACAGCTCTACCAAGCAACCCCCCCCCTAACTTTCCTCCCCCCAACACAGAGACTCTGGCACGCTCTCAGCCACTTCTCCCACCCCATCTCCACGGGAAGGAAAGGCAGGTCCACAGAGGCGCAAGAGAAAATCAGCTCCCGCCCCCTACCAGGGGCATCAGGTCTCCTCCTGGGGACTGGAAGGGGACAGAAGGGCAGGCTCCTGGGTCTGAGAAGCCTGCTGTGTCCCTGCAGCCTCAGAGCCTGCAGCTCAGCCTCAGCTCCAGCCCACTTTCCCAGGCTCAGAGCTCAGCCTGGGTCTCCTGTCCCCTCTGACCCTGAAACTGCACCCCTGCTTCACACTCACTCTGTCCCACCTGCCTAGTGCACTGTGTCTCTGGGGACCAATTTTCCTTCTCACCTGTCCCTCTCCCCACCAGCCAACCTCCCTTCCCCCTCTCCAGCACCCACAAGGAGAATCTCCTTCATGCCCAAAGCCCCCCCACCCTTTTTTTCTAAGCCATCCCTGGACAACCTGATGAAAAGTAGGAGTCTGGGTAATGAACCCCAAATCCAAGGAGGAGGCTAGCAATCAACTTGCTGGGGGCAGAACTCCAAGTTGCCTAATCTCCCCCTTGTAGCCATGCTGCCCCTCAGCATCCCTGCATTCAACCCCAAGGAAACGGCTTTCTGCTAGCCCGCCATTGCCTTTTTCCCTGTTCCAAAAACAGCCTACAATTTTATTTAATGAAAGACACATTTATGAACAATCAAATGATCCTCATAAAATTTTTATTGAAGGACGTAAAAACAAGCTACTTGCCCACGACCGAGGTCGCTCTCGCCTTGCCCGCTCTCACCCTGGCTCTCGGTAGACAGAGCCTGGGAGTTGACCTCTTTTTGGGGGGAGGGGGTGGGGGAGAAGGATGTCTCCGCCAAGGAGTTTGGGGCAGAAGAAGGTGAGCAGGAAGACCGGCTGGAGACGCCCCACTTAAGTTGTGCAGGTCTCCCCTCCACTTCTTCAAGCTGGCAAAGAAAGATAAATAGAGATAGACAATAAATTTAAAATCAAGGGTCTTGCATATCTGCACTAGAGCAAAGAGAGGACTTCCGAGGAGGAGGCTGAAGCTAAAGGTGGATGGGCTTTCCAAAGTCCCACCCTTCCCACCCGCGAACCACTGTCCCCAAGCTTCCCTTACCCTGGATTTGGGGGGCTGAGTTGGCCAGTGGCAGAAGAGCGCTCCCCTTTGCCCCCTACCCTCCCTCCACGCCAGCTTCTCAGTCCCCTCCCTCCCTGACTGCTGCTGCTGCTGCTGCTGCTCCCGGAAGAAATACATACAGACACACTATTTAAAAACGCATTTTTAAAAGCCATGTTCCGAACTGACAATCGCTGATCTCGGGCTCGCGCAGAGACTGCGGGAGCGTCCCGGCGACAGAGACGGATTACGTCAAGAAATAGTTCCTCCACCTACCTCGGCCGGCCTCCCAGCCCCTGGGGGGCTCTCGCGTCCGCTCGGCCCTGGGGGTCTGGGGAACTCGGCTCCCCAGGCTGGCATTTCCACCCGATTCAAAAGAGCCTCCTGGGGAGGGGGTGGGCAGGGAGGCCATCGACTTGAGGGTGGACATGGACAAGTGGTGGTGGTGTGAGGGGGGTGTCTCTGATGCGACAGGAGCCTGCCTGAGGACTTGGCCGGCGCTGGGGGGGAGGGGTCCAAGAGTTCTGGACCCCCAGGAAAACGCAGGTCGCGGGGAGCAGCAGGGCGAAGGGGGTGGGAGAAGGGAGAGGAAAAAAAAAAAAAGGCAAGGGGAAAAAAAAGCCTCTGCGCATTGATCCGCGCCGTATTTTTGGGTAAATACGATCACGTGGGGGCCGGGGAGCCAATGAGCTGCGGGGAAAAGGCTGGAAAAATAATTACCTGCCTTGATTGTTCTGTGAGCAGATAAAAAGTACATATACAGTTCATACAATAATCTTATGTATGTAAAACCCTGTTACGATGTCGGCGACGGGGCCCATCAGTAACTATTACGTGGACTCGCTCATCTCGCACGACAATGAAGACCTCCTAGCGTCCAGGTTTCCGGCCACGGGGGCGCACCCCGCCGCAGCCCGACCCAGCGGCTTGGTGGCCGACTGTAGCGATTTTCCGTCCTGTAGCTTCGCGCCCAAGCCGGCCGTGTTCAGCACGTCGTGGGCGCCCGTGCCCTCGCAGTCGTCCGTGGTCTACCACCCGTACGGCCCCCAGCCCCACCTCGGCGCCGACACGCGCTACATGCGGACTTGGCTCGAGCCGCTGTCCGGCGCCGTCTCCTTCCCCAGCTTCCCGGCCGGGGGCCGCCACTACGCGCTCAAGCCGGACGCCTACCCCGGGCGCCGCGCCGACTGCGGCCCGGGGGACGGCCGCAGCTACCCGGACTACATGTACGGCTCGCCCGGGGAGCTGCGCGACCGCGCCCCGCAGACCCTGCCCTCGCCCGAGGCGGACGCCCTCGCCGGCAGCAAGCACAAAGAGGAGAAGGCCGACCTGGACCCCAGTAAGTTGGGAGCAATTTTCCTTTACAACCGGCGAAGGCGGGGGGCGGGCGGGGGCGAGCCGGATTACAGCCCCCCGGGCGGGCGGGCCGCGCGGGGAGCGCGGGAGAGGGCGAGGGGACAGGGACTCAATAAAAGCGAATTACCTTGAGGAAGCGTTCAGGGACAGGAGCGTCTGAGAAGGGGGCCCAGGGAGCTAGGTTGGGAGAGGGCCCGAGGGAGGGGGGTGCTCCTCTCCCAGAACCGGCTTTGATGAGAGACCCCCGCCCCCTACCCTTGCCCCAGGCTTTTTTGGCACAGTCACCACTTTCTAAGAAATGCCTTCCAGGGGTGGGGGAGAGAGAGGTGGGACTGAGGTGGGGGGAGAGAAAGGTGGAGAGGACACTGGGGACAGAAAGGAAGTATCCCAGGGAGGAAAAATCACCCCTACCTCCCACCCAGCATGGGGACCTGTCCCCCCATTAAAGACTCATCCAATAAGAGGTCCAAGGACTCTTGCCCCCCTGGAGTACTGGGGTGAGGAGTTTCCCAGTCTGGGAACTTGAAAAGAGGAGGGTTTCCAGAGTTGGAAGAGAGAAGTGGGGTTCCAGTTTCCTTAAATTTGAGAACCCTCTTCTGAGACTCTGCAGAGGAGAGGGTTGAGCCTGAGGGTCAGGGATAGAGAGGCATCCCCCCCAGATGAGAGAATTCCACACCTACAACACAGACACCCCACCAAGGGAGGCAGGAGCCTTCAGAGTGTTGCTGAGATGGTTGGGGTAGGTGGGAGGCAAGTGGGAGCTGCAGGGCCAGATCATGGGGGAAGAAGGGGAAAAAGCAGGGGAGGGGTGCAGCCCCCTGGGCATGAGGAAGTGTCTGGGGTAGTCCCAGGAGGAGGCTGCAGGAAATCCTTTCCTCCAGCCCCACAAGGGGCCAGGGCCTAATTATACCCCTCTGAAGGCTCCTTGCCCTCAGCTACTCCCATAAACCTGAAATTGGAGGCTTGGCTCCCGCAGAGCCTGTCCTGAGGCTGGGAGGAGAGGAGCTCAGGAAGCCCAAAAGGGAAACTAAGGTTTAGAGGAGCTTGTCCCCAAGGCCAGCAGCTCTCTGGGGAGGGGAGTGAGGCCTTGCTCACCCCAGTCACCACCCTGAGAGTTCAATTCGCCTCAGCAGGGTAGAACCCAGAGCAGAGGCGATTGGGCTGCAGGAGACCCTCAGGGGCTTGGGGACCCTCAGGGTCAGGAAGCAGAACTGCTGAAATTTCAGGACTTGGTTGTGGGCTGGGGAGATGGGAGGGGGCAGAGGAGGAGGGAGGTGGGGAGGAGAGAGACCTCGCTATAAAAATAAAAAACAAGAGAGAGGAGCGTTTATGGGCCTATGAAACGGTTGGGAATTTGGACTTTTTATGAGGATATTCTCAAATTACTACTCTTGAAGCTGAGGACCAGACTGTAGGAGCTTTGATGGCTTCGGATTTCCTACCGTTTTAGGTGCTGGAAAGTGAAAAGGGGGAGGGGGCAGGGAGGGGGTAGAATGCAAAGTGAGGAAGGGAGAATATCCCTAAAGGGAAACGTGTCCAAATTCAGGTTCAATTATTGGGTTTGGGGAGCCTGGAACAGTCTGGGGATAGGGTGGCAGGGTTCTGGGCTGCAAGGGGACTCCACTGACCCCTGCCTGTGTTTGGCTCTCCAGGCAACCCGGTGGCCAACTGGATCCACGCCCGCTCCACGAGGAAGAAGCGCTGCCCTTACACCAAGTATCAGACGCTGGAACTGGAGAAGGAGTTTCTCTTCAATATGTATTTAACCAGGGACCGTCGGTACGAGGTGGCCCGGGTCCTCAACCTGACCGAGCGGCAGGTCAAAATCTGGTTTCAGAACCGGAGGATGAAGATGAAAAAGATGAATAAAGAGAAAACCGACAAGGAACAATCCTAAACCCTGCCCCGCCCCCTGCTCCGGCCCAGCCAAGGAAAAAACAAAACAAAACCGAAAACCCCACAAAACACTTCAACCCAAGCGGGGATGAGCACGAAAAGGAGAAGGAAAGAGCAAGCTAGAGAAAAGCGAATCCGCTTAAAAAGGAAAAGAAAAGAAAAAAAGGAGAAGGGGAACAGGCCAACCCTTTGCGGTTTGGGTTTGGGAGGGTTCCGCACGGAGGCATTGGTGTTGTAGTTAGTTCCTTCCAGCCAGGAGGAAGGAGGCAGGGAGAGAACAAACCGCACTCTCTTCCCCCAGCGCAGCCGAAATACATGACACTCATAAATGTGACTCCCCCCCTCCTGTCTTCAGAGAAGCCAGTACTTGAATCGCCATATTTCTTTCTTTCTTTCCCCCCCCCTCTGTATCATATTTGGTCCGGGTCACCCTTCCCCGGGCCTGGGACGCTCTGTGTGCAGATTTTGTACAAGAAAAACAAACACACATACACACACACACATACACAACAGTGCTTCCCAACCCAGGAACTTGGGGACGAGGCCCGGGGACTCGCCCGCCGCGGGGCTGGGTCCGCGGGCGGCGCAGGCCGGCGCCTGCGGCGGCGTGTACATAGCTGTGTTGCCTCTCACCCCCAGCGTCCGTCCCCAACATCCGTCCTGTGACGTGCTTCTGTTTGTTAGGGTAGAACAGCTCTGTGTTAATATATCGAAGTCACTTAAAAGCCCAGAAACCCAACTGCATCCAGTTCTCGTTATTTCTCCTTCCCAGTGGCTCCCGGGGGCTGCTGTCACACAGGAGGCATTTGCTGAGACTCTCTGGGGGCGGCTGGAGCCAGAGAAGGGGCTCCTTCTACCTCGGAAGGGCAAGTGCCTGCCGCTTCTCTGGGCGGGTGGCTCAGGGCGGGGTGGAGTCTGTGGAGGCCAGGGCTTGTGCCTGCCTGCCTGGCTGCTTCCTGGTGGCTGGATGGAGCTGGGGGTCTGATGGAGATGGGGCGTGGGGAGCAGCGGCATGGCATGAATGGTTTTCCCGGGCTGTAATTAATTGTAATAATTTATGAGTACATGCGATCGGATCGGAGGGAAGAGATAAGTGAAGATGAAACTTGGGTGCTGGTCGTCTCGGGCTGGACTCTCGCCTGGCTGCCCTGAAGGATGGTTGGGAAAGGAGGCTGGTGTGGGGGTGAGGTGAGGAGACCAGCCTGGCAAGCTGCAGGGAGCTGGACCGGTGCTCAGAGAAATAGAAAGGAAAATGCAGGGTGAGACAGAGAGGGAGACAGAGGAAGGGATGCAGTAACCTGGTCAGTACAATTAAAATCCATTCTGTTTCTCATGCTCACTGCACTTGCTGGGGGAGAGGGCGCTCCCCAGGTTCTGTCTCTCTTTTTCTCTCAATCCCTCTTCCAGGAGTGTTTAGGCTGAGTGTTGATCTGGGGGTGCTGGGGTCTTGTTAAGCAGCATTTTCAAGGGGGTGTTGCAGCCAGGACCCCCAGGGTTAGGGATGAGCCAGAGTTGAGGTGCTCCCTGGTGGCTGGAGAACCCTAGGCGTGAGGTTGTGGGGATATATGTAACTGTCTAGGGAGACTGTCAGCAACGCTGCACCCTAGAGCACCTTTCCCAGAACCGGCAGTTTTCACGTGCTAATCAGAACCAGATAGAAAGTGAGTGCCCAGTATGCCTCCACCCGGCACCCCTTTTCTCGGAAATCCCCCAATCTGGAAACTATTAAACTCAAACTGCTTAAAATATGGCTCTTTAATATCTCAGGCTGCCCGTTCTGGCTAGGGTGCAGGGTGTCGCTCTGAATACTTGGGGGAATAGCACCATTAAAGAAAGGTCTTGGGGGGGGGCTGTCCATTTGAGGACTCCCCTGTAGTAAAGTCACCTTACAGGATGGGTGAGGCTCTTGTGGAGACCAGCCCCATCCCTGCCCTGCCCTTCCCAGTCCCCTCCCTGCCTGCACCTTCCACTCCTGTTTTGGGAGGGAGAGGAAGGTATCAATGGGAGTCATTTTGGGGGTTTGGTAAGATTTTGAGGCAAGGGGAGGGGGTCAACCAGAAGCTGCCAAGATGGGACTTTGCCCATGAGCAGTGCGCACTTGCTTGCTTTCCCTGCTCAGGAGACACCCTCCCCATTTCCCACAGCAAAGCGATTGTTTCCTCTGAGGACCCATGGGGAAGCGTTTTGCCTGTAGTTGTCTCTGTTCTTGTGCCCTCAAGTCTTTCCTGGGCCATTTTCCTGTTGGGGACCCTGGCCTCAGTTCTGCACCCTGTGGAAGCCAAGGCACCCCTCTCCCTGGGTCTGGGCAGGTGGTGTGGGGCTTCTCTCTGGAACAAGCTCCTCCCTGCCACCCTGCTTCTGTGGTCCCAGCTCCAGGGCCTGGTGGCCTCCTCAGTCCTGCAGCGCGGCCTGCTTCCTGTAGTCCCTGAGCTGGCCTTTCTGTGGGCAGGAAGAAGCACCGCCAGGCTCCAAGGGACCTGGTCAGAGCAAGAGGCCCAGGGCAGCCCTTCAGCCTGCAGGTTCCTATTGGATTCCATGTTTGTTCATTCTCGTGTGTGTATGTGTGTGTGTGTGTGTGTGTGTTAAAACACCCTTGCCACAGTCACTACTACACACATCTGGGGGGGAAACTGAAAGCTGGGGTAAAAGGGGTTGGCAGACCCCCCCCCTCCTCCCCTAGTATCCTCCTCCCACCTCTCCTTCGCTCCTTTGTCAGAATCACAAAACCCCTAAAGGTTGTCCCACTTGGGAAGGGAGCGGATAGGTACATTTCCGCAGGCCTCAAATGCCCCTTTTATGGTGCTGCTTGTCTCCCCGCGCTGGGTTCTGAATGGGGCCGAACAAAACAGCCGCGCGGAGCTGGCTAGACGTCTGGGCTTAATTGTTTTATGGTTTAAATAAGGTGGACACTTTCCTTTGAAATCGGATTATAGGAATGTTTTGTCTATGGCCCACGGAGCACAGGAACTCCCTGGCTGGGAGGGAGCGATGGGAGAGCGAGCGCGGGCGGGAGGGATGGGCTGCAGACCAGGGGCCCAGAGCCGCGGGAAGGCCGAGGCCCACCCCAAAGTCCGGCGGCGGCGGGGCGGCGCAGGCAGTGCGGGCCAGCGGCCGGGTAAGAGGGGCGAGGAGCTGGGGGCGCGCCGCGGGCCGGCGGTCGGAGATGCTGGGGCGCGGGCCTGAGCCTGTGCTTGTGCGAGGTGTTCAGAGCCCAGCAACGCGCCCTGCTTGGGGGCAGGGGGTCTTGGCAGGTCCTTTGCACAGCCGTGGGAAGGGAGAATAGCAAAAGACAGAAAACAGAGTGGAACCTTTTGAAGAGGTTTATTTCGGAACTTGTGCAGAACCAAGTAACAGCCTTCCGGGGAATCCCTCCCTTGACAACTCAGTCGTGGAGGCTCCTTGCTCCCACTTGCCACCTTGGGGGCCAGCCTGGGACCTGCTCTCGGTGGGCTTTTCTCGGGCGATTGCATTGGAGCCGGTGGACGCGAGGTGGCGCTGTTGCTCAATGTTAGAGGCGCCGCGCCGGGCCGGCGGGGATGCGCTGACATCCATCCGAGGCCGGCCCAGAGAGGCAGTAGGCGGGTGAGCGGGACCAGCGCCACGGCCCGGCCCGACCCCGCTGACTGCGAGCAAATCCATCTTCTCACCTGCCAGGTGCAAATAAATCGCTAGTGGCGGCGGGAGATGGGTCCTCGCTTTGGCAACGGGCTCTGGAAATTCAGCAGAGAGAGATTCGAAAATAATCGCTTTGCAGCAGAAGAGATGAGCTCGAATCTGGCAGCGCATAAGCAACACTCACACACACACACACACACACACACACACACACACTCAAAGGCAGACTGGCGGACAAACGAGCATAAATCCGAGGTACCTAGTAGGGCAGCGCCATGCCTCTGGATTAGGGTGGAGGTGGCCACCCCCCAGCAAAGGATGGCTGCTTGCTGGTCCTTTACCTCCAGGCTGGAGAAGCAAAATAAACCAGAGAGGTGTAAGAGAGAGAAAATCAAGTGAGAGAAAGAAATGGCACTGCACCCCCAAAAGGGGAAAACAGGGAAGGCGGGCAGCTTGGGCCCTCTGGGCCAGCAGCGATGGCAGCAGCACACTCGGGGACAGTCGCATTCCAAGACACAAAGGCCGGAAGAATAGCTCTGTAGCAGGGTTTTTGCTGCACCATAAAACGTCGAGATACCCCCCTCTTGAAAAGATAAGGCCCCCAAGGGCCCTAGTGGGTCAGACCCTCTAGGCCTCCTCTTCCCAGGCCAGGAAGAGAATATTTATGACAGTGCTAGGTGGGCCCAGTGCTGGGAAAGCAGCGGATAAGCTACCTTGTTCATTCAGCTCGGACATGCAGAGCAAGCTCAAAAAGGCAGGGTTGGAACTGAGCCCCAAGTGTGCTCCTCCTAGGTTCCCCCTATCCTAGACCAGAGGGAGACCTGAGCCCTGGCATAGCCCTCCTCTGACTGGCCCCTCCTTTTACTCCATGGTTGGAGTTCTGGGTGTCTGCAGAGTTTGGACAATCCCTGACTCAGAAGGGGGGTGACCACTCCCTTCCCCAAATGCAAGGGATCTTGGAAGAGTCCCTTGCTGGGGTAGCAGAGAACCTTCTTTGGGAATTCAGTAAAGGGGTGGGGCATTTCTCCAGGAAGGATGTAAGGAATAGAATGAGTCTGAAGCCCTGTTCTTTCTCCACTGTCCCAAACTGTATTGCCACCCATTCCCCACCTCCAGAGCTGGGGTCCAGATGGGGAAAGAGAGGATCTGCTTTTCCAGCCTCCTCCTTGCTCATCCGATCCTGAAACTCTAGGATGTGGAAAATAAATGGAAAGCCATTGTGTTCATGATGCAAAGACCTAAAGATGAGTTCGCTTTGTCAGGCATGGTGTGCTGTTGTGTCCGAGAGGCCTGTGGGTGCGCACCAGTGTGGACAGCGCCTGTGAGGCGCTGGAGGCTTCCAGCCACACGTGCTAGCTTTCTGTGAGCATGCAATAAAGAGTTCTCAAGGTGAGGAGGTAGCACACACAGTGTGTGTGATTTGTAGGGGGCTATGTGGCCCTGTGTGTAGTAACCACCTTCCACACTGAGGAGGGGGAGGAAGAGAGGGGCGGGGGAGTCAAGTCATTCTTAGTCCTCTTCTTCATTCGTATGCACACAGCACACTCCGTCACAGCTCTGGAGCTGTCTCCCTTTCCCGTTCTTCCTGTGCAGCCCACGTAACTGCACACACATGTCCAGGGGAGGGTCCTGGTGGGTTAAGGTCCTTTCACCCATTAGCCTTGACTTGCATTTGTCCAGCCTTAGGGCTGGGGGCAATCCCTGAGAGGGAGTGTGGGTAAATATTTAAAGAGTGTCTGTTGACCCGTTCCCTTCCACATCCTGGCCTGGACTGCCTGCCTGGCACAGGAGGTGGGTGGGTGGGGTGCAGGGAAGCTAATAAGCCCATCCAGGTCCAGCTGACATTGACTATGGAGTGAGGGTGTATAGGGACAGGTAAGACGCCTGCTCCCATCTCCTCAAATACAAATCATCTTTAAGGAAAAGACAACCTGAATCAGAATTCCAGGGACCCACAAACTGAGTCCGTCCTTTCTGGTGCCCACAGCAGCTTGGACCCCCTGCCAGGCTTGTGGTCACCCTGGGCCAGGGCTGGGATCTGAATGGCAGTGCAGTCCTCCCCACCCTCAGGCTCTCTTCTCTAGGCCAGGAGACAGTCAAGAGAGTCTTCCAGATCAGGAGAGATGGGGCTGCTTCTTGTGCCTGGAGGGGCCAAGGCCAGAAGGATGCTGGGGCCTGAAGTAGCAGGAAGAAATGCAGTGCCTGTTCCTCTCCCAAAGTCCTCAGATGGTTGGACCCCCTTGGGAGTCCACCTTTTGGGTTAGGGGACTTGCTCTCACTTGCTGCCCTCCAGCCCCTCAGGGGCCTTATACCTGTTGAAGTAACCTGAGGTGACCTGCTGGGGCAAGCAGCCACTTCTCTCCCAGAAAGGAAGGGAAAGCAAAAAAGGGGGCCAGGAGGAGGCACCTTCAAATCTGAATGCATACCTTTGAAAATTGGCCCAAGCCCTTAGCTAGGGCTGGACACACACACACACACACACACACACACACACACAC